AAAAAAAAAAAAAAAAAAAAACCCAGGTAAAGTATGCTGAGGGGAGGAGGAAAGTGTGGAAGGAAGCCTAGGTGGAGAAAGAAGAGAAGCCTACCATCCCTCTTCCCCAGAAACCAGCTTCCTACTGGCAGCAGGCCACAGCTGAATGAGGGAGAAAGCCTCAACTGTAAATCAAGTTTGGAATTTTGGATATATTAATTACTAAATGACACTGTTTTATGACCTTAAGGGACTACAAAGCAACACTTTTTAAAACCTAAGAGTGAGCAGAAAAGTCATGACTTTGTCTTCTATCTGAATTTACACCTAAAGACAGGAGAACAACTAGGCCCACTGAATAAATGTAAATGGCCAGTTGCGGGGAGGGGGGGCTTTATAATTATATCTCAAAGACATGCTTGTTCAATACAAGAAACAAACATTCCTCCAGGGTGGCTTTATCCTGCTTTCTAGAAAGCTTCTAGTCAGTAAGTGCAATTTGTTTAAAAATTTTAGCCAAGGCACATATCATTTAAAGGTAAAACTGCCAAAAAATTCACAGTGCTTCCAAAGACAAAGTTGATTTGGAGATTCTGTGGTCTTCTGGGAAGGTATTGAAGTGGCAGCATTATTTCTTATAATTAACTGGAATGACTAAATATTCACATAAGTAGGTTTCACCAATAGCTCCAGCACTTATTATGGACAAGTAGTACTAAACTAAAAAACAATAATCTGTCATGGGATTAGAGAAGAAAAATAAACTAAAAAATCCTTATTATTTCACCAAAATACAACAGATACTATAAAATGAACAAAGAAGGCAAATATTCTTACTATAGAACAAATATAAACGTCCTTTATACATTTTTTACATTTAATATAAATGTTCTACTTAGAAAATTTCAGAGAATAAGTTCATATATTATTTTATATCATTGAATAGTGTTTGGCATATGTGAACATTAGTTTTATAGCAGTCGGCAAACATAAGACTGTTATTTTTTTCTTATGTTGTAATTCCTAATAGAAACTGAGTAACACAAGTCCTTCAAAAATATCTTCTTTCAGAGTCCAGGATGAAAAAACTCAGAAGTGGAAAAGTCAATGAGAAAGAATATACCTCATTTTAAAGGCACCATTTTTTATTAAAATTATTTTTCCATGTTCATAAAAAGTGAACTTTTAAATGAAATCCGAGAATACCTTTACAATGATTCTAGAGTGGAAAGGCACAGTGCAAACATAAATTACTACAATCAACAAAATCAAAAAAGATTTTCTTTTTTTTTTTTGAGACAGAGTCTCACTGTGTTGCCAGGGCTAGAGTGCCGTGGCATCATCCTAGCTCACAGCAACCTCAGACTCCTGGGCTCAAGCAATCCTTCTGTCTCAGCCTCCCGAGTAGCTGGGACTACAGGCATGC